AGGTTACTTTAAATTTTCTTTGGCTTATCTTAGAGTATGAACTGAATGGCTATTAAATTATATCTGCAATCCATTTAGTATATATTTCTACTGAAAAACAAATTGCAGTTTATTTGAATTCCTTTCAATGCGCCTTTTTCTCTTGCTTTGTGCTGCTAAGGCAAATAGCTTCGTTCTGTTGCAGAGCAATCAAAACTTTTGATGCCACTCAAGCTGACTCATATTTCTTTGTTTAGCGTTTGCACTTTTGTTTTTATTGAAAGCCAGCAGTTGCAGTTGTTATCGTAGCTGCTGCTTTGTATACATGTGTGTGTGTCTTCAGCTTTATATTATAAAATATATTAGGATATGCTACTTTCAATTATTTTTCTACCTTTTACATTTCGGCATTTACATAATTTATGGACTCTTTCAATGTTCAGTGTCTACCTGTTCTTGCGATTCTAAACACCTTTGTGCTTAATTTAATTAATTTCTAAATCCAGCTGCCTTTGCATTGATGATATGTTAGAAATGTAAATACAGTTGCTATACAAAGAGCCGCTCACGTACCCAACTCAATGGCTGAAAGGCAGCACATTTGTCAAACAACAAACAAGACACGCACACATACATACACAGGGATAGCTCTCGGCGTATGCGTGTGGTATTGTTAGTGTTGACAGTTAAATGGAGCCATTGGCATAAAGTTAGCCGCATGACATTAGCATGCAAATTGTTAAATTGAAATTGTCATTCACATTAGCCGTCTCTTGACTTGGCTGTTGCGTTTCCTGTTTGCCTTTCTCTGTCCAAAATCAATAAAAAGAGACAAATGTATGTATGTATCTATATATACATGCAGGTATAGATAGATATCAATCTTATTGGAGCTTTAGCACGTCATTAGACCTGATTTTAGTGCTGGCCTTGTGGCCCCGTAACTAGGTAGAACAAATCGATGCTTTGTTGGCCAAAAATAAAACCGACAAAAATTGAAAGAAAAATGAAATTTTACCAATTACCTTAATTCCATTAATAATGAATGATTGATGAACTGACTAACTGACAGAGTGACTTGTGTACCTGGCATATGGACTGAGTCGATGATTGCGATTTAATTGAGGTTTTAATAACTCATCAGCAAATTCGCTTGAAAACGAGAAAAAAAAGGAAAAGTAGGTAAGGTAAGGGTAAACGTAGCACCGACTGCTCAATGCGTGTTCAAGGCTTTTTAATTTGACATGTGAGCATTATATAATTATGAGAATGATTTGTAGAGTAAAGTACAGTAATTCCAAATTCCCGAAAAGCTTTTCAAATTATGGGACAATTAGCTACCTGGTTATAGCTACCAAATGTGACGTATAAACAAATAACAAAAACCAATATACTCGCTTTTCATTACACGAACGTGTATAATGAGGCACGTGGCAATCCTAATTGATGTTTTAATTACAATATATTCATGCATATAACAGAGTATATCTACCATATTTCAAACAGAAACAAATAGAAAGAATATCACAGAGAAGCCAATATACCCCTTTTAATTACACGAACGTGTATAATAAGGGACACGTAGCATATTTCGCAGCGCGTGGCAACCCTAATTGGTGGCTTAATTAAACATTTTGGCAAATCGCGTGCTCCAGTTGGTTGAACAGGCTCCACTCGGCTGACTCTTTGAAGTGCAGTTTTTGGGCCAATTAACGCGCTTTTGCAATTCATTTAGCAGTGCTTTGGCCATTATGGGCCACGACTGGTCCGGACTGCCTAGCTCTCTCGCTGGCTTTCGCAAGTGCCAATACGTGCTCGACTTTTCAACTACTTACATATTACTTTGCCGGCAATTAAAAGACAATTTATGTGGGCAAAACTTAGTTGAGCCACAACTTTTTTTTGTTAATGTTATTTTGCTTTTAAAGCTCGCCAAAGTTGAGAGCCAGTGCGAGTGAGTGTGTGTATGGGTATGCGTGTGTGTGTGTGTGTATGGGTATGCGTGTGTGTGTGTGTGTTTGTCTGACATTTCACCTTGGCAACGAGGCAAAATTGCTTTTCCTAAGCCCCTGCAGCAATAGCAGGGATTTTTTTTCGCCTTTTGCTTGCAAGTTACGAGCACATTGAAATCAGAACTCTTCAATTATTGACTATCGGAGTGAGTTTTAGTTCTCATCATGGCCTATGTACACGCTCTGCTCTGCTGCATTCCGAATGAGCCTGATGTATGGCTCTTCTTGTCAGTCAAATTGGAATTGTGTTTGCCATTCGGCTGCCGTCTTGTTGCCTTGTTTATTAGCAACAAGTACGCCATGCGTAATGTCTGCACTCTGTGAGGGGCTTTTCAGATGTCGTCTAAAGCATACCAATTATTTAGCTTGCAGCTGCTGTTGTGCTTTGATCGATGTATGCTGACAGGATGCGAGTGATGTTCGGGGCTTAAAGGACACTTGCACCTTTGCAATTTTCCTCTCAGTGGAGGCCTTTTGTTTGCAATTGGGTAAATCAGGGCTTTTGATACTTACTTGCAAAGAAAACAGAAAGTAAATTGGTTTTTGTTGCATTTTTAAAGGAGTTATAAGTGCTCATCAATTATTTATGAATATTTCTTTTATAATTCAAATATTTTTACTAATTGCGATAACTTGGGGAATCCGTCAATTTGTTAAGTTTCTTCAACAATTAGTATCTAAGACTTTAAGTTAGTTTCGCTTCAGTAAGTTCGTTCACGCCTGACAACATATCAAGTAGTGACAGCACCTAGACTGTCCCCAGAGAGTCAGAGTGCAAAAGGCATAAAAAATGGGTGAATTCATAATAAAGTTCCACGTTTTTTCCTCTCTTAATTATGCGCCGTAACTGCAATAAGAGGGTAGGCTTGATTAGTGTAGCTGTGTGTAACAATTTCAAAAAATAATCGTAATCGCATATAACGGATTAATTTGAACCTTTCTAATCGATTACCTTTGAGTACATCTAAGTCTTGATAATTGCTTGAGTAATTTAATTCGCAATTCAGCAATCTAACTGCATGGCTTTTAACACATCTGGAATGGGCTTTAATATATACTTATCAGGCTCAAGCTCCCCAATAGATGGATTGGGTGTATATATTGCTCATTTATCTAACTGCATGACTTCTAGCACTTCTGGAATACGTTTTACTCTCTGCTGATCCAGCTCAAGTTCTTTCTCTTCGAATCTATGTGTATAAACAAGTACAGACTATCTAAGCTTTGGTGTTGTAACTAAATTTCTATGTCTATCCATTTCCGTAATAAAAGTGCCTTCAGCAATCCGCTAAATGAGACGGTATAAAAACAGCGATATAGAAATAAAAGTAATCGATCTATAGCAAAAATCCAATTCCAGCAACTCTATCGTCTATCATCTCTATATATCGCATTTGTATTATAAGAACTTCCTCATTCAGTCTGACTTCCATCTTCATCTCTTCAGGGCATCTTCTAGTCAGGCACTTTTACCTAAAACATTCTTCATTATTTTTTTTTGCTGTGTTGTTTTTTTTGATATTCTTGTTGTTGTTAGCTGGCCAAGCGCGCAAACTTAATTTACTTGATGAATGTATCTGCCTGTGGAACGTTGGGCCGCGTGTGAAGTGAATTCATTTGCTCGGACACTTTGGATTCATTAATATTTATAAGAGCAACTAGAGTGGGCGGACGGTTAGTAGCAAAGCACAATATGCTTCACTTGCTATTGTTGTTGTTGTTGTAATAATTTAATCGTTGGGCATTTAACAAGTTTTTATAATGTCAACCGAAATGGGCTGAAGCGTTGCCAGACCAGAATCAAGGTAGCCAGAGCAAGAGAGCGAGAGAGGGAGAGAGAGAGAGAGATAGCTAAACAATAGCTTAACTTGTTGAAATAATTTAATTTCAGCACTTGAAGAACTTTGGCAATGTCAAGCGACAAGTGGGGTTAAGTGATGCCAGAGCTGGTGGCCAAGGTTGCCAGAGTTGCGACAACTTTAGCAAATAGTTTGGGTCACCCGGTGACATCCGTTGATTCTGAAGGTGAAGACCGAAGCTTTTAGTTGGCTAACAGATTGAAGCTTTGCCAGCATAGCGAAACCGAAAAAACCGCAATCGCTTTACATTTTCAATTTCCAGCTAATCTAAATTACATGATACGCGCACAATTTGAACGCTAATGAGTTGCGACAGCGTGGGCGAGAGGGGGGTGGGGGGGTTGAATGGGTGAACGGACAGACAGATTTGGGGGGGTGGTTAATCTGCGGGTACAACGTTGCGTATGCGCAACATATTGCGTGTGAATTTTAATTAAAAACTTTTTCTCACTTACCCAAGCAAGATAATCGCCAGAGCCCCAGCTCCTGCTAAATGCCGCTATTACGGCTGTTGTTGTTGCTGTTGTTGTTGTAGCTGTAGCTGTTTATATATCCTGCAGCTCCTTCGATTGCATCGATTTTCCTTGCTTAGCAATTTAGATGACAAGCATTGTCAAGTTGGTTTTCATTTAGATTTAATTATATGTGACTGCATTGCATGGGGCCTGGCAATTGATGCGTATGTTTCTGTTATGCCAGCCCAGTTGCTAGGTAATTAAATGCTTATACATAGATTAACTTATGCTGTCACACGCACATGCACATACACACACATACATTCATATAGCTGCTGCTCATTTGGTCAAATTGGCTGATTAGTCGATGCACAAGCAATGCTTCGATTATGGCGATCGTTGTTCAATATATTTAGATTAGGCTAACCATTAATTTGGAAACACACACATACACACTCACTCACATACACACACACACATATGTGTTTTGGGCATGTTTTCGTTTAGGGCCAATGGCCCAAATGCAAACCACTTGCTTGATTCTGTTTGGCTGATTGTTTGCTCTTTCGTCTTGTGCTCTATAAAATTGTTGGTGCTCCCAGCGCGTGCGCATTGAATTTACTCCGAAAATAGCGACAGCGTCGAACGGCAGCGAACAGTCAACGGTGTTGCGTATACGCAGCGTGTGTCTCAGTCGTTAGCTGGACGTGATGTTGGCCGCAAGGGCGCCACGGCATAAAGACCACATTAAGACCAAACGACCAAAAAGAGAACAAAGCCAAAAGCCTGAAGGCATTGCCCATTGCCGCTGAAACAACAAGTACCTAACTGTGTGTGCGTGTGCGTGAGTGTGTGTGTGTGCGAGTGCGAGTGCAAGTGCAAGTGCAACTACAAGTGTGCAAGTGTGTTGATGGCTATCAAAGTGCAGCATAGCTAAAAAGTATGCTTTAGAATTCTATTAACGCGCGCGCAACGTGGACGTTTCGTGAAGTTCTTGACGCGGCTTTCGTGACCCCACCAAAACAAGAAAGTAATAAAAATACAAATAAACACTTGTACATATATACATACATACATACATATGTATAGATTACGTACAACCCTTTTTTTCGAGCTGAATAATTAATGCAATCAAGCCATTTGAAGTCCCGTTTCAAGTGTCGTGTTAGCGCGCGCGCGCGTGCTCTCTCTCCGGTTTCAAAACGATTTCGAAAATGAACGAAACAAAAAACTGAACAAACTTGACAGAGCAACGGCAACCAAGCGAATTTCTTTCATTTCCTGACGTCAACTGACAGGCGCAACGAACTCAACTTTAAACTTAGCTCTTAACTCTTAACTCTTAACGCCAGACCAAGCAAACCGCAAGAAAAAACAGGAAGCAACTACAACTATAACTGTAACTCTACTACATACATATATATATATATATAGACATACATATATATAAATATTTTTCTAGATGCAGCTTAGTACATATATTTAGCGCAAACATACATAGCTATAGGTATATATCTATTTGAGCATATATGTTTATAAATCTTTAGCGCTAACGGGCAAACAGAATTCCAATCATAAATTAACGTAATAAAAAAAAAGAAAGAAAGGAAAATTGCGGCGCTTGACTTTTCCAACGAATTTTCAAACAACAAAAAGAGAGAAAATTGAAAATACAAATTGTGTCTGCAGACCAAGAAAGCACGAAAAGCGCAAAAAAAAAAACTAATAATAATATTTTTCACACACACACACAAATTTATACGAAACGAAAGAAAATAAGAAAATAAAAACATGCATGCGCATATATAGACGACAGACAAACAAACATACCTACACACATATCTATCATATATGCACGACTCGCTCGCAGCTATATAGATGAAACATGCTCAGCCAAATGAGCAGACAGCTTGGCCAAATATATTTCGATTAAAATATAAATGAAATTAAGCTGGACACAGCACTGACACGAAAACTAAATGGCGTGCCAACTGCTTGAGTGAGTGAAAAATTTGTATTGTCTGCCAATAACAGATGACAACGGCAGCAACAGCAACAGCAGCAACAGCAACAGCAGCTGCAGCTGCAGCCAACAGGTTGCCAACTAGAAACTAAACACATTCGCCCGCAGGTGAGTTATAGCTCGAGTCATTTCGTATAAAACAAAACTGGAAATTGCAACTGCAATTTTATGTCCATATGTATATAGATACAAATCTATAAAGTTATACACTTGCACCCATTACAAATAGGGTAGGAGGAATATGTGCAAATGTTTGCAACAGGCAGAAGGAGGCATGGTAAAGCTGTTGAGGTTTTTAGGCTGAATCAAGCTGATGAGTTGAGTCTGTATGATAATGCCCAGCTGTTCGGCATTTCATCTATGCCTCTTAAGAGCTGATTTGATATAGCAAAGTTTGTCTCTTCGGGTCTTTATTTATTGTTGTATATGCTGGATCAGCTTGATGAGCTGAGTTGATATAGCAATGTCTCTCTTTCTCAATTTTCGGCTGTTCATCTATTGTTGTGACTGGGTATATATGCTGGATAATAAAGATGAGTTGAGCCTATATTGCGGTACACGTCTGTTTATCTCTTCATCTATTCGCTTGATTCTGCTAAAGCAAATGATAAGCAGAAGTAAGATATTCGTCTCTTCATCTATGTATTTAGTTATAGCTAGATACTATATGTATATATAGCTAGAGTTTACATGTACTCTAGCCATACGCATTATTAACTTATTTTATAAACAAATTGTTTCGTTTGCTTGATATCGATATATATCGATATAGCTAGGTATCGACCATTTTCATTTGATTTCTCAATTTTTTCATATACATATATATTCTTTTTAAGAGAGCTAGAGCTAAAGAGTTCAAATTGGTTATGTGGTTTTCAATGGTGAATGTACATCATTCGGACTCTAGATACCACTTGGTTGCATTTCAAGTAGTAGAAACTTGGGCTTTGGCAAATAGACACATTAAAATGCCATTGTAAGGCTCTGAAAGTGTTTCTTAAGAAAGTTCAACAAAAGTTACTCAACAATTAATTTACCATAAGAAAGTCCAGGCAAGTGCATGCAGTCGCTGCGCAGCCAGCAGAGCGCGTGCTTGTGTATATGTACGTAAGTGTAGGTATATGCACATGTGTGTCTGCACTAGTATGCGTGAGTGCAACGTATATCGTATGTGTGTCTAAAACAAACTTGCTATAATTGCAATAACAGCTCCTCGCAAAGTTCAGGGTATTTCCCAGTCGGCCACTTCCGCCTACTCACACTTTTACTTATTTTATTATTTTGTTTTCATAGTTTGTCTAAAGCGCTTTTATATCGAAAATTTTATTTGCAAAATATTTAACTTTCACTTCTGCTCGATGGGAAGGCAATATCTATGTGGCTAAAAATAAACCTGATCAAACTGGTCTTAACTGCTTTCTATAATATGTGTGTGTGTGTGTTACTTGTTCAATATATTTTGAAATAGTCAATTTTTATGTGACAAAAATTTGTTAAACAAGAACTTTTGTTTGCTTTCAAAATAAATAAATAAGAAATGGCCCAACGCTTTTAAGGAGTGCAGCAAAGCTGAGAGGATTTATTGCTGCTTCGGCTTACAGCTCAGACCGCTGGTTAGAGCACTGTATATAGTATATTTCTTATTTATTTAAGCCTTGGCTTTTCACAATTTATGTTGCAAGTCCTTAAATGCAACATGTGCTAAATGAGATCTCTGGGTGAACCAGACATGTGCAGAATATGTTTGGATGAGTGCTAGGCCAAAGAGCTGCAGCTGAATATGCTTTGCAGATGGTTGGTTGTCTTGATACAAATTTGTTGTATGTGACTTATGAACGAGGCCACAAATGATAAACATATATTTTTATGAAATCGCAAAGAGCAATTTCCACAAACATTGAGTTTAAGCAGCTTTGCAGCTTGTTGAATAATTAATCTAATCGAAAGTGCGCAATTAGAGAATGTTGTCATTAAAAGAGTTTAATTTGACTACTTAATAATTTATATGCAGAAAAGATTCAGTATATGTATTTAGAAAAAAAAGGATTATTAGCTCAAAATTTTTTTTTTAACGTTTGTATATCAATTTTAATCTCAGATGATAACTTATAATTACAGATGATAACTTATAATTACAGTCGAGTCTCTATAAATTGTATACCGCTAAATCAAAAATCTAGATAAATCGAAAAAAAAAAAAAATTGTTTATATCCTTAAACAAAATTCTTTCTCGATAACTTGAATTTCTGTGTAAATCGATAAAAAAAAAAAAAAAAAAAACTGATCCGCTGGCAATTTCGAGTTACGGGTAATCGACTGTATATACGTACCTATATATCTTGCATAAATATCTTGCATTTTTACAATAATTCATTAATATTGTTTTCATATTAGGTCAAAGCCACCTGCTGACTTCAACAGCTCACAAAATTTCCTTATATTGAACTATTCATATTCCTGTGAGTTCCCTATTAAGAAACTCGTATTTTATAACCTGTTGTATCAAATAAGTGCTGGTGGTAAAAACCTTTTCTTGTATTCCAAAGAGGTTTCCATTTCAGCTGCACAAGCGTTGATCACCTGAAATTTACACGCTAATCTTGTTCGCATATGGGCGAATAAAACTTTTTATACCCTGAACCCATTGAAAATGGGAAATCAGGGTATAATGGTTTTGTGAAAAGTATGTAACAGGCAGAAGGAATCATCGCAGACCCCATAAAGTATATATATTCTTGATCAGGACGACGAGCTGAGTCGATATAGCCCTGTCCGTCTGTCCGTCCGTCCGTCCGTCCGTATGAGCAAAAGAATCTCAGAAGTTATAAGAGCTAGAGAGCTGAAATTTGGCATGCATACTCGTGTATACCATAGGCAGTACAAGTTTGCTTTATTTTTTCGATAACTCATCCGATAACTTTTTTTATCGAGAACAATCGAAAAATCGACTTGGTTTTTTTCAGCCTAATTTTAACACTCTTAGACCTGGAGACTTCAAATTTGGGTTGTATATAAAGTTAATGGATACAAAGATTTTGTAATTTACAGATTTTTGATACCACGCCCCCTTCTCCCTCAATTTGTAAAAACGCATTTCAAGTACTAGAGACTTGTGCTTTGGAATGTGCACATATTTTAACCATATGACTACGCTCTAAAAGTTTCATTAAGATCGTAAGTCTACAAAAGAAATTATTCAACAAATAAATTCTCATAATATTGCCCACATTGCAGCGCAGCCCAAGCGCAGTCGCTGCTAACTGCGCAGTCAGCAGAGCGCGTGCTTATAAGTGCATGTGTATGTATGTGTGCATAAAATAAGTCCAGACTGATTAGAATATCAGCTTGGAGGGTTCAGGGTATCTCCTAGTCGAGCAGTCTCGACTGGAGCCTTCTTACTTGTTTTCAGTTTCTTTTTTGTTTCGTACGTCTCTTTTTTTTTGTTATGCTGAAAAATGGTAAAAACTGACCATGTCACAAAGTGCCATAAACAATTTTACAACATTTTGCCTGTCATAAGATTAAATGTGCATAAAATGTGTTGCGCTCTGCAAGGGGCTTGATACGTTCGTTGTAGGGGCGGAAGATGGGTGGCAGACGGCGGGGAGCAGGAGACTGGGCGGAACGCAACACTGACGAAGGCGAAACAAAAGCAATAACTATAAAACAAACAGAATACAATGCGCTTCAATGGTACGGAGAAAGGGACATGCCAGGGCGAAAAAATAAAGGAGACCCCATACACACACACACACACGCACACTCAGACTTTATGCCAGCAACAAGAGCAACAACAACAACAACAATAACAATTGGGTGCGGTAGCAGCAACAAAACATGCACACATACAATTAGTGGTGCTTTTTTCCTGCTTTTTGCTTTATACATAGACTTCTTTTTGTTTTTGTAACTACTCTAATGGAGGGTCTTGCAATTTTATCAGTAAAGTTGTTGTGTGTAAAAGCAGCTTATTTTGAAGAGTATAGCCAGAGAGTTCACAAGAACTGTCGGAAGAATAGCAATGGCATTTTTATAAAAGTTTGCATAGATTTTTCTTGAAGAAGATCAGGAAATCATCATCATAGAAATACTTTATAAAGTCTGTGATCAATATGCTGTACTACTTATATATACTCCATGTTCTCTATATAATCTCCCTACTCTCTATACTCACTACTTTATCTACTCTACATACTCTATATATTTTATAGTCTCTATATACTCTATTTACTTTATATACTCAACATACTTTATATAGTCTATATACTCTATATAATCTATATAATCAATATAATCTATATACTTTATATACCTTACAAAAGCTATATACTGTATATACTGCATATACCTTATATACTCTTTATACTCCTTATTATTCCCACATGGAGCCACAACATCTCTTACTCAGAATTTTCAAAAATCGATATGAATGCATTTATGTTCAGTTTTTTTTTTTTTTTTTTTTTTTTTTTTGACATCTCTCAATCTTATTTGCATTACATTGCATTGAACTGATTTCATCACCAGGAAGCGTATAGACACTTCGTTATGTTCGCTCCGCTTATTTTATTTGTTGCTCTGAGTGCCGCTGGCATGGGCGGGGGTGGGAGTGAGATAGCCGTGGTTTTAAACGCACAAGCTAAAGGTATGCGACACAGTCAGAGATGCCAGCATCCAATTACAAAAGTGAATATTTGTGATGCTTTTTTCTGCTTTTTATTTTTATTTTATTTTACTTTTTTTTTGTATTTTTGTATTTGGTTGCCATGTTGACCTTAACATTTATATTTTGGCTCTTGGCCTTAAGTATCTTTCAGCCAGCTGACCTGAATTCGGAACCTTTAAAGCTACACTCACGATGAGTGTAGTGCAGTTTGGCTAGTCCTAGCCTCCTCCCCACCAAAAAAAAAGATGTATAAACATATACATATATACATATAATTTAGACATTGCCTTCATGCTGCTGATAATGAGCCGTTAGCGGCTGGCTAGGCGGAACGTGGTGCGCGGTGTGGTGTGGTGGGCGTGAGGGACTGCCTATGTTTATGGTTTTGGGTGCTTTATGGTGCTTTGGGGATGGGGGGACTAGTTGGCGTTAGTTGGCGGC